AGGTAGCTTCCTTCAAGGGAAGTCCCCCATCCCCAATGCAACCCCCCCTGCAACCTTCCCAGGTCAAATCTGCCCCGCTCCCTGCTCTGCCACAGGGTGTCTGCACAGAGAATGGCCAACGCCCTGTCTCCCGGCGACCAGGTGACCTCCTAGCCTGGGAGAGAGACAAAGGCAGAAGAGGGGCTGGCTGGGGATGTTGGCAACTAGCAGAAGTTACTAGATCACAGGCCCTGGTTCTCATGGGAGACTTTAATCCCCCTGATATCTGCTGGGAGAGCAATACAGCGGTGCACAGACAATCCAGGAAGTTTTTGGAAAGTGCAGGGGACAATTTCCTGGTACAAGTGCTGGAGGAACCAACTAGGGGCAGCAGTGACCATGAGATGGGGTTGAGTTCAGGATCCTGACACAAGGGGAAACTTCTGGAATGGGGGGGTGGGCTCCACCCTAAACCAAAGTGGAACCAGACTGCTGGCTAAACAGGAGATGGGGGAAAGCCAACTGCTGCAGAGGAGCATGTGGATCGGACAGAGACTTCTCTTAGGGGAGAGTCTAATGATAGCTAAATAAGATGGGTGAACTAGAGTGCCTTGTGATAAAGGAGGATATTGATATATTAGGCATCACAGAAACCTGGTGGACCGAGAGCAGTCAATGGGGCACAATCATTCCAGGGTACAAAATACATCAGAAGGACGGAACAGGTCATGCTGATAGTGATAATGAAATTTAAGAACTCAATAATAGTGGGGGATTTCAATTATCCCCATATTGACTAGGAACATTTCACTTCAGGACGAAATGCAGGGATAAAATTTCTCAATACTTCAATGTATACCCCAAATTAAGAAACACAGTAAAAGAACTAAAAAAGAGCCACTGTGGCTTTAAAAAGTGGAAGTCAAATCCTAGTGAGGCAAATAGAAAGGAGCATAAACGCTGCCAAATTAAGTGCAATGATCTGGAGAAAGGGGTAAACAGTGAGGTGGCAAAGTTTGCAGATGATACTAAACTGCTCAAGATAGTTAAGTCCAAAGCAGACTGTGAAGAACTTCAAAAAGATCTCACAAAACTAAGTGATTGGGCAACAAAATGGCAAATGAAATTTAAGGTGGCTATGTGGTCACCTCATCTCAAAAAAGATATACTGGCACTAGAAAAGGGCAACTAAAATGATTAAGGGTTTGGAACGGGTCCCATAGGAGGCGAGATGAAGAGTGATGTGGAGAAAGTGGATAAGGAAAAGTTATTTACTTATACAAGAACTGGGGGGAAGGGTCATCAAATGACATTAATAGGCAGCAGGTTTAAAACAAATGACTGGTGTCCCTGGCCTGTGTCTGTCAGAGGGTGGAGATGGAAAAGCAGAACATGAGGGGGGAACAGGAAGGCCAAATGTATGTTAGCAACAAGAAGAAAGTCAAGTCAAGGAACGTGTGGGCCCCTCACTGATAGACAACAGGAACATGGTTTAACACAGAGCTTGTAGGTTCAGGAAATAGGACCCCCGGCTCCAAACTCCAGCCCCGCCCAGAGAGCCCCGGGGGCCGGTTGCCGGGCAGGCGATTGGTATTTGGGGCTGTGTGATGATGAGGGGCCTGGCGCCCAGTTGGTGGGCAGAAGGAAGCGAGGTGCGGGGGGGGGGGTGGGTGGGGGGGGGGGGGGGGGGGCGCTGTTGTCTGTCCCGGCAGGATGAACACAGCACAGCACAACTCTCAGCACCTGACAGGCTCTGCTCTTCCCTGCAGGGAACCGGCCGCCCGCCCCCTCCCCACACCCTGCAGCTGGCTCGGCGGCCTGGGGTGGGGGGCGCTGCCCACGGAGGTCACGCGTGGGGCCCCACTCCCCGGTCTCACACACACAAGGACCCCGGGGATCGAGGGAGACGCTCCGGGCCCCATTGCCCGGTGGCTCCGCCCGGCGGCCCGAGACACTCCGCTCCCGGGGGGGGTCCCGGACGCCTGGGTCCCGTCCCGCGGCAGCCCCGCCCCCTCCTTC